AAACGATTTCCTCCGCTAACACACACAACAGACCGCGCGGGCACGCAACACTACACACACACACACACAACACACACACCACACAACACATTATGTAGCGTCACGCCGAATACAACTCACTCTCAGATTCGAGCGATCAATGTGGAGTTATGATTATTATTAATTACGTAATTGTTTAGAAACTTCATTAATCTTACGCTGTGAATACGAGGTAATTATTGGGTTAGCGGTGTTGCGATAGTAGACGCTTACCCGCGGATGATCAAGTAGCAGCAGTCAGCAGCGCTGCTTGTTTCCTGATGTCGTGTTTCGTGCGACGCAGTTTCGGGGCTTTGCTACCTGTCGTGTACGCAAGGTAATGATGTGACATCAGGTACACGTCAGCGTTACGCGAATGATCCGCAACACCGCGCTGAATTACTAACGTACTCATTATACTAGAGTATGCCGGTGCCTCTTACACGCGATTAGTACCACAAGCACGATATTGGCACGTGGTGGACTGTATTTACAGTTTAGCTTCCGATGCCGGTGTGAGATGATACAGTACAACGCCAAGTGAATGAAGAGGTGTTGACTCCGAGAATGCAGGGTGAAGTCGCGGAGATTTCACGTCATAATTTGTCTACAGCCGAGCATGCGATCGGATCTGTAACCTCGGTAACAATCTGCGGGCGTTGTGTGCAGCGGTGGATGAGGATCAGACGAGGCGCATTTGCGTGATGCACCCTAAATAGTAACATAATGTTATGGTTTAGTGTTGATGCCACGGGCGCGCAACTTCTGAATGGATTTGATGGCAGTTATCTCGATTATAGAGCAGGAAGTCTACAGCATCGGTAGGCTAAGCGCTAGTCTAACAGGGTTGATGCAGTGCGCGATGCGCACACGCAATCTAATCGCGGTCTGCTTTCGTGTCTCGCTGCGCTCCTACGTTACGGAGCTAGTTTGCCGACCAACGGATCTTATGGAGAATAAAAGATAATAGCTTCACTATTAGCTTCCTTGAACTACTCTTCCTTTTAAGACTAGCTTCGTAGAGAGAGAGAGGAGAAGAGAGAGCCGATAGAGGGAGAGAGCGAATCGAGAAGAAGAGAGCGACGAGCGAAGAGCACGGGAAGACGCGAGAGGAAGAGCGACGAGGAGATAGAAGAGGAAATAGGAGAATGAGAGACAGGCAGGGCGAGTGTGACAGCAATCGCGTGACGTGAGTTGGGCAGTAGAGGGTTTAGATTGTGACTGAGCAAGGATCCTAGTATCGTAATATGCATACATGTGTCGATATGTAGAAAATAAAAACCACTTTGATATCTTTATACATCATCACGTGACTTTATGGATATCTGTTGAATATGCTGATTGTGACGAAAGACGAATTTTCCAATCACTTACAACTATCTTACTGTTCTTAATATGTTATCTTGTTTCTTTTATTATATAATCTGAGTAGCATGTTGTTTTTGATCAGAACTGTATTTAGAGTTGACATTACAATTATGTCAATGTTCTTGCCTAGCAAATCCTTTTTCCTTGAATGTGGAATCGCAATTTATATACAGTATCATAAACTAACTTGAATTATAAACTATCGTTATAATGGTTTCGAAGGTT